ATTGTGTGACCTACATGCTGCGGCACAGGCACCAGTCTGCTCAGTGGCCTGTGATAGAAGACCTTATTAGATGCTGTAATGATTTACTCGTATGTTTATCTGCAGACAGATATAACCTTTAAAAAGGAAAAGCATGAAGGGAAACAAAAGAAAATTGCTCGTATTAAAGTCCTGTGGAAGTAGAGAAGAAATTAATAGCATAGATTTAAATCCCCAAGGAATATACACTCAAGCATAGTTTTTCACAGTGGATACCAGCAGCAATTTAGATTGCTTTTAATCTGTGTTTTAGGCATGTCCCTCGGTTTGTTGTTCTCAAGCTGATGTTCTAATGTAATTTTTCCTTGTCATTTGATCTGGTCTTCCTGTGCCCTTATGATCCGTCCAATTTCCCATACTACTTTGACTTCAGTCTTGCAAAATTGATCTCTTGTCCTCTGCCTAGTGGAGGATTGTATTTGCTTTAGTTTTCCTGATACATTTATTTTTTTCTAACAGTACCTGTTTAGCACTATAAGAGCTAGAATGTGCTGTTGCTTGGGTGCAGAGATGCATCATGATTCCCCGTACCTGGAAAAGCTCTTCCTGGCTTTTCCTGGTGCTCCCACTGAAAGAGCTCTCATGGAGCAGAACCATACCAGGTGGTGGAGCGGTCTGTGACACCAAAGAGCAGGAGCATGAACCACCACCATTCACTGAACTCATTCAAACCTCAGTCTAGGGGGATGTTTCAGAGCGACCTGCACTGCCAGAGAGGTTTACAGTGTTTTACAGAGTTTAGATTACAGCGTTTATGAGTTTGTTTTTTTGACTACAGGCCATTAACATTAATTAGAACATTAATTAGATTTGCATCTGTGCAAACATATGCTCCCTGAAACTGGGAAAGTGGGTGGGGATTTCTGTGTTTTCCTTTCTGCTCATCTGATTCTTCATGGGGCAGAGTATGTTCAGGTGGCTTTCTTTGCCTGTCTTTTGCAGCACACCTTATGCACTGCTTAACAGGAAAAGTGAAGTCTCCGCCTGAGATGAGAGTACAAGATTGTTGTCATACTACAGTTTAAATGTTTGCATTTAGCTGCCTCAGACATGCTGTGCTCATAAAATCAGACAAGATTTCTGAAAGACACAGTTGGGATGAGGAGCAAGCATTCTCCCTGCATTCATCCTCTGCCCACCTCCAGCTGAACCAAGAATAAAGCAATGTCCATGTGATCCCCATGCAGTGCACCATTCCTAAGTCTGCCTTTCTTCCTGCTTTGTTCTTCAGCTTTCTTTAGTTTGCTTCAGACCTAGTTTTCTTGGCAGCTCTTGGAAAGAGTCTGGGGACAGTGGATTAATGCAGGCAGGAAAATCATGTTCTATTTATTCAGATACATTTTTCCAAATTGTTCTTTTTAGACATCAAAATGTAAGATAATGCAGAGTGTCCTGACCTGGAAGAGAAAATGATATGATGTTATTTTGTAAGTTAATTGTGAAAATACGTAACGTGAAATAAAGGCTATTTGTTAAATCCCTGTGAGAGAGAAAGAGGGAGTCTACTGTAGGCCAGAAGTTAGCTTCTGGATTACCTTGAAATTATAATTTGCCAATAATTAGCTGTGAGCATTGAGCAGGGGTAGTTAACTAGCTGAAGTTACCAGGGACGGCTGCTTTAATGAGCTTGTCAACTCTTAGCCAAGGAGAGCTGCCCTCAGTGCTTTTCAGCGTGGCTGGCTGTGACTGCACGCATTAGTTCCAGGAGAAAAGAGGGTGCATTAGCTGAGCTCACTCAGCTCAAAGGCAGCATTTTCTCTCTTGGCTAGTAAATGTGGCTGATGGGAGCTGAGAAGCTGTGGTGCCACGTTACAGTGCTAAGAAAGCAATGGTGCTGTCATCGCTAACTCAGCTGACCCTAATTTAAGAACTAGGTCACACCTGAAGGGAGAGACCGGGTGGATTGTTTATGTTGGGTTTTGTTTTCTTTTGTTTTAAAAAGTACCTCTAAGCCAAATAAGAAAACAGGCAAAATCTCTGCAAAACAAACAAACGAGTAAAACACAAAGTGAATCTTTTGTCAGATTTTTAAAGGTACTAGCAATACACAGAGAGGGGAATGCAACATGCATGCACCCACTTTTTCTGCCATCCCCCTTGTATATATATGTGTGTGTGTGTTATATGATTTTGTTGTCTACTAGACTGATAATAAATGAGCTGTGGTATGTAATGCACATTACTCATATTACTTTGTGCAGAAATCTGCATGAAAGTCTATGTCTGAGTCACGCCAACATGTGTTGGAGCCAACTAAGAAGAGTTTTCTTCTTCAGGTTTGTTTGGAGCAAACAAGCACATTTGCTTAGAGCCACAGGCATCATGCTACTTCGTACACAGTGTTGCATCTTTCTGGGTTGTACTAAGAGGTCTGTTTTTTTGTTTGTAGAGAGTTGTTGGGAAATATGCTTTTTTGATAAAGTTGTTTTGAGACATTTAATTTAGTTAATGATAAGAGCTTCTTATAAAACACATAAACAAGGATTTGCCAGGTGTCAGAAACCAACTGGTTTTCCCTCATGTACCTGGCCTGGACACACTGAGAGGGACTTGGAGACAGGAGAGGATCCAAACCCTTCATGCAAAGGGGGAATACGTGGAAAATGGACAACAGAGAGTCTCATTCAGCTTGCTCTGCTGTCATGACAGTGAGCTGCAAAGGGAAAGAAATACAGCAGGTACCAGCACTGGAGAATTCAACATGAGAATAAAAGTGCCCAAGGGGAAAAAAAACAACAAAAACAAACAGTTTACCATCTTTACTCATAAGAAGTGTGCTTGCTGTCAACTTGAACTGCTTAAGATATACTCTGTTCAGTGCAGCTATTTTTATCTCTAGTTTGAAACTGGCTTACATATTGCGGATTGAGATATGGAAAATAATAAGGAAATAATGTGTTTATTACATCTATTTAGTTTTTCACTTCTAAGCTGATTTAGAACATTATCCACTCTGCTAATATTCTGTGATTCAATGCACTATTGAAATATATGTTTTAAAAAAACAAAACAAAACAAAACAAAAAAAAACCAGAACAACCTTCTGGCAAAGTAAAAATTCTGTATTTAAAAAGCTTGCAAATATAAATATTTAATACCCCAATGGGATCACAGCACTTTTAGCAAGATTCATGAGCATCTGATGTGCCAAAAATAATTCTGCAGTCTTATGATTGGGTGACCTGCTAATTGCTCAGAAGTGATTGTCCGAGTACCTTACGTAGCCCTGAAGTGAAGAGAACCCTTCAGTAGTGACTTCTCCATTATCTCCTCCCTTCTCCCTCATCTCTTTTTTACCTGAATGTCAGTGCTTTTGTGGCTTTCCAGCAGGCTGCATAGGAGGAGAATTTGCTTATTAGTTCCCTTCTTTCCTTTTTTTGGGGGGTGAAGGGAGAGCTAATAAAAATGTAGAAGCATGGGAGCTTGGGTTTTTGTTGGCTGCTGCCTTAGTTGAGATGCATTGCTGTATGTGCTCGGAGCAGTTCCAGGGGTGCAGGAGGCAGGCTGTGTGCTGACCTCTCAGCACTTTTTAGGGGAAAACAAATGAACATTCAGCATCTACTTTAGCACCACATGCTGATTTCTTTACTGTGTCTCTGAGCAGCACTGGGCGCTGAGTGCTGGCCTCTGCTATCACAGGGTCAGCACTGTGCCCAGACCTAACAGGGAATCGGATTTCCTGAAACAGTTGCGAGTTAGTTTGCCAGAACAACATAGGATTTAAGGACACTGTTACATTTCAGAAGAAACACGTCAAAGCAGAGTACCAAGGGCTCAGTGCTAATGAAGTTCAAACCTTGGTTCTCTCTGGAAAGGAGAGGCAGAGGATGAAAAAACAGATACACTACAGCAGATTTTCAGTGATTAATTCCAAATTGTCTCAGTTCTGCTTTTATAATATATGCCCCAAAATCCTGCACCTCCACAGGGCAGCATCGTGGTTTGAATTCAGGGAGTGCAGCTTCATGTCAGCATGGGACACCACCCCTTCACTGACTCAATTAAAAAGCTTCTTTTTGTTACTCCAGCAAAACTGGAATGAAAAGATGGGATGAGATTTGGTCTGCTGCCATATAGTAATACCTAGAAAGTAGCAGAAATTGGATATTGGCTCAGGAACTATTATTGATGAACTTTTTAGGGACCATCACAGAAGCGTGGCATACCTGTTAGGAAGGTACATCTGCTGTGCATCTTTTGCTGGCAGTGCATGGCAGCTTGAGAATGAGGTACTCACAGTGTTCTCTGGGTCAAATCTTGGTCTCTTACACAAGCTCCCACTGATTTAGCAGTAAGCCTGTGTTTAACCCACTGTAAAACCTTGAGAGCAAATGTGGTTTGGTTTGTGCTTGTTTTTCAAAAATTATTTTTTTTTATTCTTTACTTCAGTAAACCCCAGTAGGGTAAAGATAGTGCCATAGAATTTCTCCCATTCTGTTTTGCTTGCGAAAAGCACCGTATGTGCAAAGTAATACTGCCTTGGATTGTTCTGCCAACTCAGTGCTCTGGTTGTCTAAACACCCTTCTGCTTAAAGAACTATATAATTAGTTTTGTGTTACAGGTCATTTTTAATTTCTTCTGGAAAAAGGCCTCCTGCTTTTCCGTTATGATATTTTATTGTTTTGTTAGGACTTTGAATTGTTTATTGTCAACTACCTTACTTAAGGTTACAATAAAAATAATTGTTGTAACCTACAAAAAATAATTTTCTGCTTAAAAGGTAGACATATACTGTCTGTGTATGTAGGTATGCTGTAGAGATGTATCTACAAGGTAGAGATATACTGTGAGTGATTTTCACAACATACATACTCCAATAGCTCAAGATGTTAGCTTAACTTTCCTTTGTACTCTATCTATGGCTAGTTTTTCCATTATTCCTATGTGTGTGTGTTTGTCACAACAGTCAGTGTGTTGTGTGCTATGATCCATATTCAGATTTTTTTTGTTTCTTTTTTAGTGCTTTGCTGTGCGCTCTCTGGGCTGGGTAGAAATGGCAGAAGAAGATCTTGCTCCTGGAAAAAGTAGTGTTGCTGTGAACAATTGCATTAGACAACTCTCTTACTGTAAAAATGACATCAGAGACACCGTTGGCATTTGGGGAGAGGTAAGAATATGTGAACTTCAATTCTTGGAATGTGCTTCTTGAGCTGTAAAATAGTTTGAAAGAACAACTCTTAAGACAAATATTTCCATATTCTGTGTTTAGATTTCCCTATCCCAGTTAGCTCTGTTGGAACTGTTCAAGGACAGTGCTGACATGTTTGTTCCAAACTGCTCAGGACAACAAGTATCCCCAGAGACATCCCTTTAATGTTTACATCTTCACTAGTACACATCTGTGTAGAAGCAGAGTTGTGGACACACAAGCAAAACTGTTGAGTCCAGTGGAATCCTTCTGGACAGAGGTTTTAGAGTGATGCTCTGGAAAACATTGTCACATGCTTCTCAGTGACAAAAGGGCTTTAAGGAAACCCAGACTGCTGTGACCGTGTTTCTAACATGTCTGATGAAATTGAGAATGATGGACAGACGGCTTATTTTCAGATGACTACGTGTCAGTCTTTCAGAAGGAAATGAATTTCATTAATTTCTATGTTGTTTCCTCTCCAATAACTCTTGAAAGCATTGACCAGCATTCCTCGACTAGATGGATGTCAAATTCCCACAAACTGAGGAAAAAACAGAGAGCTCAATTCTCTTTACCGCTCTCTTTGCAAGTTTGTAATTCCATCCATTTTTCAGATGACAGAACTTTAATCAACTTGAAATATATCAGCTCAAAGCCATGTTTTACTTTGGTTTAAGAGTTAATACTCACATTTTTCCATATTCTTCTCTGTCAATTGCACTGGTCTTTATTCAAAACTCTCGCTAGTTTTCAAGCCAAACAGGTGAAAAGTTGTGTCCTCTTGAAAGGAATTTTTAATTAATTATTTTTAATTTTCATTTAAAAAGTAAACATTAGCACATTAGTGAAACAGTAGAGACACTGTGCTTGAATTGGTGGCCTCTGAAGTAAATCGCCATCTTGATTTTTAAAAGAAATCATTACAACATTTTTTTCTGCTGACAAGATAGTATTTCAAGATTGGAAGAGGCACAGTTTAGAGAGGAATCTGAAAAGCATATGGTTATCATTGACACATCACATAGAGCAGAAATCTATTACAGAGCTAGGGCAGATGGCTGCACATAGGGGTTTTAAGATTGCCTCAAGATTTATTTTAGCTAGAATGTAAGGAAAGTGAAATTGAGACTAGGGTCATCCCATGCTTTCATGATTACAAAATCAAGAAATAGAGTAGCAAATCACCCTGAGTAAAATTCTGACCCTACAGAAGCTTTGTCGTTGGCTTTAATGTAAGATTTCCTGTCACCTTTGAAAGAAGATCTGTGTAAGTTTCTAACTTCTGCAGTTCTCTATGATGTGAAAACAAACAAACAAAAAAGCTCATTTGTTTGTACTGCTACTTTGCCATGCATTACATTCTCCTACCTCATAAAGTCACTTACATAAACAAGACTTACTGTTGCTATTGGCCTGTTTACCACCATACATAGCACCTCCCTGAAAGCTGTTGGACCTGAGTCTTTCCTATATTCACTTTCCCTTCCTGATCCTTCCTGTGAGAGCCATCCTCAGCACGCAGCTTCAGGTCTCTGCAGCTATTCAGCCATCTGAGACGGTCATGTTCGAGCTCCCCACATGTCTGAATCACTTCTTCATGCCTTGTGTGGTATTTCCATCTATGAAATAGCTTCAGTATGTAAAGCAACAAAACTCAGCAAAATATATTGCTTCTGGCTGCAGCTAATCTATCCCTTGAGCGCTGCAAGGATAATTGACTTATGTTACTTATCTGCCCATTTTCCAATCTTTTCCAGCTAATTTGGATTTCATTTTATTACTGTAATCCCAATGTATTTTGCATGATGAACAGATTTTACCTCCTTGTAATAATTTCCTTCTGGAATAAATACATAAGTAGAAAATGGGTTCAAAAAGCAATTTTTTTACACTCGGTAATATTCCTTGCACAAACCATTTACTGCTTCTGACTTCCAAGCACATTTCTTGCTCTTTCTCTTTGTGGTTATTCTATTTTCTGTTTGGTTTTATTCCCATCCACCTATGCTATCCTAGCTTATTTTGTTTCCCATGTTTTTATCTCATTTACACACATGGTTACTACAGCTAAACAACATCTTTGTCTAGGCACCAGACTGCATACCAGCCTGCATCCCTTTCCCCTCCTGCACCCCTTGAGTACTTGTGTTGCAAGCTCTGTGTCACAGTGCCCTTTGAATGATCATTAGGGGACTTGGGGCTGGGAGAAGTGATCAGTCCCATGAGAGGCAGAAAGCAAAAGCTGGGCACCTGTGATTCAACACCTGTGGTTCACCACCTTCCCCCCATCAGTGGGCAGTGTCTGCCTCTCCCTGAACTGGCCTTGAATCCCTGAGGTCAGGGTGGCATCTATGTATGTCATGTAAAAACACAAAAATCACACATCATTAAAACTTGAACCACAGTAAGCAGGCAGAGAGAGAGTTTCTGTGTCACTGAGGTGAAGAAAAAGGTCATTTCTGAAACATTTGTCAGTGGGAAGTCAGAGCTTTTCCATTCTTTCTGTTCATTTATAGATTCTGGCACAATAGAGGAGAAACAAATTACTCTATATTTAGCTCATAGTTCCCTCATTTTTATCAGCAGGAGCTTGTCTTAAGTCTCAAATGTGGGTCCAGGATCATTTCCATGAGATTCCAGTCTTCAGCCTCTGAGAAGAGAACTATTAGATGTGGCAAAAGAAGCAGCAGACTTTTTGCAGATGCTAGCAATAGGAGGAAGATTAGCATTTGTGAATTAGCATCAAAAGGAAAATTGCTTCTAAATTTGTTTCCTCTATGGGAATAAGCATTCTCCTTGTTCTTATGCACCAGAAGAGTTAGCGAGAAACCCTGGCTCCGGGATTCTGCACTTGCTGGCAGAATTTTTGTTCATTCCTCACTACCAGGTTTTCCTCTTTTAGTAATCTTTCTTTAAAGAGTATAATATGAGTAAAAGACAGCATACAAATAGCTGTCTGTTCCCATGGCCCATTGGCTAAAGTTTATGGAAACAAAGCACATACTGTGTGAGAGAGGGAGCTCTGCCCTAGGTGTGGATGGGGATTCATGCAAACATTTACTAGCAACGTGATTCTTCTATATTTGAAAGAATGTATTGAAGATATGATAAACAAATGATTTCTTGAATAACTCTCTAGCTTGCATTTAAATGAGTCAAACAGTTGCATTTAAAAGTTAGCTTTTTGTGATTGGGATCTTTTAAAAATACATTAGTAGCAGAATGCTGTGTTAGGTCTTTTTCACATTGGAACTGAGCAAACGTGTTCTTAATTGCTTTTGGAACAAATGTAACTAAAAATCAATTTAGAGGATGCAAGGCTTAACAATGTAGGCATAACTCCTTAATACTAATCAGTTTGAGAGGAGGACATGCTCTGTAACTGTGCATTTTCTGGAGTTGCAGGGCAAAGACATGTACCTGATATTGGAAAATGACATGCTGAACCTGATCGACCCTATGGATCGTACAGTTCTTCATTCACAGCCCATAGTGAGCATCAGAGTTTGGGGAGTGGGTCGTGACAACGGCCGGTGAGTCTGCACTCTCTTTGTTCCTACTGATTTTGTGCTTTTTGTGACTTGCTGATATCAAGTACAGATATGCCAGGAGTAAGTTGCGTATCAAACCTGTTGAGCTATTGTGACTCAGAGGTAATGAAAGGATGGGCAAATTCTTCTTTTTCTTACCTGTGCTTTTTTTTTTCTTTTTTTTTTTTCAATTTCTACTTTTCGTAGTCTGTCACTGATATTCTGTTTTGCTAAACCTGTGTTGAACAAGCATTTCAGATGAATTCAGATGTATGCATAAAACTGCATATGCAACTTTACTTCATTTATGTATGCAATACTTTTTTACATGGAACTATGTTTTCAAAAATGGCCCAATATTTCTCATGGCTCCTCATTTTTCCATATATATGTGTTTGTTTCTTTAACTAAAGGAAAAGTTTGATTGATTCTCTTGTCATAAGGAGCAATCCCAAATGCATGCTTCAAGGCTTTCCTGAACTGGAACCTGTGTTCCACTAGTTCTCATTCCTGACTGGTCTTTTGGAAACAATCTTGCTTTCCATGTAACACTGGCTGCAGGAGCAGGATTGTGAAGGTGGCTTATATAGAGCAGGACAGCAAGTTGTTTCTCTATTCCAGTGAGTGTTTTGTCTATCAAAAATGTTTCCATTCACATAGAGCAATTCCAGAATCTTCAGACAGTACTCCTTCCAAGTAGTAAGGATTTAGACACAATAAAGAACTTATGTTTTTTGTGCCTATGTTTGATTATTTGGATGCTCAGTATGAAAGTATCTATTTTTGGTCTCTGATTTTGGCTAAAATTAAACACTGAAATTTTTTTTGAGTACGAGATTTGGCAAAACAAAGTTTCTGATTATTTTTGGTTATATTTTTGGTTAAATTTCTAAAAGAAAAGATATTGTTTCTGTGACCTGATTTTGCCTTTCTAAACTTATTACTACTACAAATGACTGGTGTGGATGTGTTCATTTATTATTTATTTCTTTATTTTACTGTTTTTCACTTCCATTGGTGCAGATTTTTGAGAGATCTGGAAGAGCAAATCCAGTTTGAAATGGTGGGAAGTAAAGAGCTTTTTACTTCTTATGAATAAACCATTACAGTGCTTTGTTTGCTTTAGAAAATGAGAGCACATTTTCCCTTCAAGTCAGATTTTGTAGCAGCTTGCTTTGGTCAGGAAATAAGAGCATTTTAAGGAACATCTGAATGTGATGCAGCTTAGGAAGTTAGCTTTGCTTTTCATTAATATTTTTGAAGAATTTTCAGTTCTCTTTCAAAATACTTAGATTTCTTTTGAAAATAATTGGAAAACCATTTTGTTATGGCTGTAAAATAATGTGTCACATTTATCCTGGTGGGATTCCTACTTCTAAAGGCAGAACTAGACATACAAACATCAATGCTGAAAGGGGGCATCTAAGAGAAATGTGTCTTTTGCCTCCAATATGTGAATGTAAGCCCCATCAGTAGGACAGGAGCTGGTGGGCATCATTTTGTGTGGAGGTCAGACCTGCAGATTTGCCATGTTATCCTCCAACAGTGATGAAAAGCTATGTACAAGTAAATAACATCTCTGATTCCATCCCTGCCTAGTTTTGTAATGGACCTGGAAACTGAAAATAAATTCCAATTCTGCTGAGATTTCTGTAGAGGCTCACCTATTTAATAAGAATAAAGTCCTAGTTGTAAGGAGTATGTATATGAATTACACATCCAAGTTTAAAAAAAATAAAAAAATAAAAAAATAACCCCATCAAACCTGTTCTGCCTCTTGGTCATAAAATGTGAAAGTTTCCTCCACTGCTTACACAAAGAGATTTTATTTGGGACATCGACAGTGAAACAGCTGTAGAACAGATAAACTAATATTTTCTTGCATTTTCATCATCAGAAGAGGAATTTGGCCAATTTGTATTGAATCTGAACACTTCTTAACTCTAATTTTTCTTGTTTGGGTGCTGCAATATCAGCAAGAAAGCACTGGGTTTTTTTTGTGGATTACTGTTCTGGGAAGCTGAAAAAGTCCTACTTTCTGTCATGAAACTCTTCTGGAAGATGTTGCTCATGAATGTTGTTAATTAGCAACATTTTGTATTCCAAGAGCCCATATAATAAAATTTAATTAGATTTGTTCTGAAAAGAAGTTTTAAAATTGTAAAATACTGTAGAAATGTATGTTTTCCTCTATATTGACCTTTCTGAAACCCATAGTGATCCCCCAGCTCTCATTTTGAACTGCATTTTACTTGTAGTAAAATAGGGATAGATTTTGCTCTGGAAGATGAAAAGATTTTCTAATGACACCTGACCAGATGATTTTCTAAGAAATGCCATAATGAAAGATTGATGAAATAAAGCAATGTGCTGATGAAAGTTTAATCTGAGGATATGTCTGGTAACTCACCTCAGGCAGAAACATCTACTGGAAGGCTGTAATAATTTTCTCTGTATGCTACACTATTATCTTGACCTCTAGAGTTACTTTTTTTCTTTTTTTACAATAGTTGTGTGATAAGCAAAAGCTTCATTGTTTTGTTGACTTAAGCTATGCAGCGATTTTGTTTTGAAAGGTAGCATCCCTTGTTTCCAATTAATCATTTAGTAAAGTATATTTGACCTTAAGAGAGACCAGAGTAAAATTGTGAGCAAAAGCAGGTTTCTGCAAGAGAAGCTGGTGGTTGTGCATAAATATGTGCGTAGACTCTAAGCTCCAGTGTTTCATATGCAATATGGGCGTTAAAGGAAAAGACATATACTTTATCTGAGCATCCTTCTGGTAGACTGTATTTCTTAGGTGGTGTGATGTTTTTTAAGAGTAAAAGCTGTTGTGCTTCATTATCTTTACAGCCTTTTCTATTTTTCAAAAGAGCCATGACATTTCATTTAATATTACTTGTAAATGAGAGAAAAATCCTAGTACTTGCTTAAACAGTTTGATTTCAAGATCAGTGATGTCATTGCCACATGAAGAATTTGTGGCACCACAGGTGCATCAGTGAATAATAGACAGTGCTGCGTTTTCTTAACAATCAGTTGGCATGGATTTTTCTGAAAAAGCATCTTGGAGAATATCAGCCTCCTAACGCTGTTGAAAGATTGTTCTTTCCAGTTGTGAGCCGCAGGTATGTGCATTCATCATGTCTCAGGGTGGGTTTTGTGTCCCCTTCTCAACTGCTGGCGCATGCCTTCTGCCTCTGAGCCACTCACTAACAAGGAAGGGAGACAAGGTAATGTGCCATCAATTCTGTACAAGGGTTTCTGTTAGCACATTTCCCTGAATCTTCCTTTATCTTCATTACTTTTCCACCAATCCAAAGTCCAGCTCAACTTTTAAAATCTCTTTGAGACTTTAATTGCCTGGTGGGAGAGCACAGTGCCTTCTCTGGTGGTGTTTCACTCCAGCTGTAAAATGGAGCCATTTGCTGACAGGATTGGTGTCAGCATGCTCAGGAGACAGCTGTCACAAACCTAAATGTGAGTGGTGTGGGCATTTAGAATGCTGGACAAAACACATGGCACATTTTTCTGTTCACCCACCAGCATTGTCATAGTATAATTCACATCTGCTGTTCTAGTTGGTATGTGTACTTCCCTGGAGGCTGAGAAGGGACGGCAATTGCTCTTGGTTCTCAAGTGATGTTTTGCGGTCTTAGAAACAACGGTTAGAGAGTGCAGAAGTGTTGTGTTCCCCACTCTGCCCTAAAAGCACAGATTTTCAAAGATGATGGTATTGAGGACCTCTTCAACTGTGTGGAAATCCATTGCCCCACGTCTTTGAACTGCTGCTGGTTTTCTGCTCCCTAGGTATAGAATCATGGAAAATCTCAAGTTGGAAGGGACCCACAGGGATTTAAGTCCAACTCCTGGCTTCACACAGGACCACCCAGAATTCGAACCCTGTGTCTGAGAGTGTTGTCCAAATGCTTGATCTCTGGCAGCTCAGGGCCATGACCACTGCCCTGGGCAGCCTATCCCGTCACTCTGGTGAAGAATCTTTTCCTACTGCCAACCTAACCCTCCCCAGCACAGCTCAATGTCATTCCCTTGGGTTCTGTTGCTGTCAACAGAGCTCAGTGCTGCCCCTTTGGTCCCCTCTTGAGCAGCTGTAGGCTGCCATGAATCTGAGCTAAGAAAACTGTTGGAGTTACGTGAGAGCACAGGACAAGCCTGTGAAAAGATGAGCAGGGAATGGCATAAAGTGACAGCTCAGATTCCTCAGAATCTGCAAAATTTTGTTTTTTCAACAGCTAAACAAAAATGTCCTGATATCAGAAGTGTTTAGCAGCTACGCTGTCCATTGGTGTCAGTGGAATCTGTGTGTATGAAGTACCTTTGAAAATCAAGTGGCTCAATATAGATCTGGGAATCTTTCTCTAGACATGCAGATTTGAAAGTTTTTGCTTGAACAGCATTTTTCTTTGAATAGTGAGTGTATTATCAAGCTAAGAGGGATGGAGATGGGTTTGGGCAAGAACTGGTTTGTTTAAGGACAGAAAGCAGTTGAATGGGGAATCTGCGGGGTGCACTGCTGCAAGGAAGGGGTTATAATCCATATTTCCTGGCTAAGGCAGCACGTTTACACAAACTACCTGAGCCCCACTGCACATCACATTGTATAGATGTGAGATTTTTGGAAAGATACCTGGCCTTAATGAGGGAATTTAAAGCTTAGTATGGACAACAAAGGTAAAGTTAGTGTGCTTGGAGTATCCTGGTGTATCTGCAATTTATCATTCTCCTTTTCAGAAAATTGTGCAAGCAACACAATATCAGGCTTCAGTGATGTATTCAGTGATGTGGCTTATAAGAGCATTGTTCAGGGAGGTGCTGAAGGTTTGCTTTTCCTTTGAGGTGATGATTGAAACCTTAAATGCATTGTGAGGTCAAGTCTTTCACCAGTTCTTTGAGAGAAGCTTATCGAGTTGTAAGAGATAACAAGTAATAAACTTTCTGTTCCACATTAAAGGGACGTGGTCAAGAAAAGCTGAAAATAAATT